TTGCCCTCGCAGCGACGTGACACCGCCATGCCATGCGGTGCTAGGCGCTTGGTTGCCGAGGAAAACGTGGAATAGGCGATGGGGGATGTGCGGGGAGGGCCCAGTGCGTTCGGACCTTGGAGAGGGACGTTGCACTCGGGGGGTGACGCCTCCTTGGAGCTGGACCCTGAGGGTCGCACCTTCCTGGCCGCACGGGCCCTGAAACATGGTACCGCACATGCATCTGCAGCCCCCGAGGGAGTACCAATCTGCTGGGGCGGTACCCATTTTGGGGCGACGTCTTGCCTCAATACAGCGTTTCAAGTAGGGTTCTACTCATACCGGTCGTCTCAAGCAGGGCCCCACTCGCCTTATGCTCGCATTATGCGGCGCAGCCGCGCTTCGAGAACAAGGGCCACATACTATCGCATCAATCATTGTGTGCATCATCGTTATCATCCTCGGCCCTCCACCGTGTGCCATCTGCTACATCTTACAATTCTGGCCGATGCAGTTCCAGTCGCCATGGCATGCCCTTCATGAGGGCCACCAGCACTTTGTCGCATCGCCAGCAGACGCCGCACAGTTCAACTCGACTTCGCCACAGGACGGACAGCGCGGCCATACGCAAGTTCACTTGTAGCACAGGAGGAGTCGGGGAGTCATGGCTTTGCGGAGGTTTGCGCTACATTCGCACACCGGCTGTTGTGTGACTCGCCGATCTGCAGCGCCTTCCCACGTTTGTATCCTGCTTCCGCGAGCTGCTTGCAAGCTCTTCTCCGCTATCTTCTTAGCGTACGGTGGGGGCATTCGTTAAGGAACGTGCCCAGGAGGCTTCAGACCCTGGAGGGTCCCTTGTCTGATGAAGGCGGCGGTAATATCCATGGCCAATCCACGATTGGCTTTCCACTGGCTTCCGGACCCTGGATTTCTTACCGAAGGTTTCCCTCCCCAATGCCATCACCGTATCTTGTGTCAAGCATGGTAGTTGGTGTGAGTGCCGGTCTAGCTTTCTTTGTATGTCGACACTGCTTGGGCGCAGCGGTAATCCGTTCTGCCTACGCTCGAATATGAATGGTGTCGTGTCTGACAGCGCGGGCCCACAACAGTGACTTCTTGCACTTTCAATGTGCGCTCGTTCTGGTGCAACATATAGGATGCAATCTAGGTGGGGCAGTGCATATGGTGCAACCTAAGTTTTGCAAGCAACGCGGTGCAAGCGATGTGGTGGAAGCTATATGGCGCAAGGTGTGGAGTACAAGCTGGCTGGTGCAATACCATGTGTTTTGGTGCATGCTATGTAGTACAAACTATGTGATGTAAGTAATGTTGTGTTAGCTATGTGGCGTAAGCGATCCGGTGCAAATTACATGGTGCAAGCCAGGCAGTGCAAGTTATGCGGTACATGTTATGTCGTGTATACTGTTTATACAAGTTGTGTGTACGCTAAGGGTCAGCGCTATGTGGCGAAAGCTGTGTGGTGCAATCTGTACGGTGCAAGCTATGTGGTGCAAGCTAGATGTGCTACAAGCCATGCGGCCGCCCAGCGCACCAGGCGCCCAGGAGGCGCCCACGGGCAGCAACGGGCGGGCGAAACCTCGCCACACCACCCACCCAGCGCACCAGGCGCCCTGGAGGCGCCCACTGACAGGACACCAAGCGAAACCTCGGCACACCCACCCGGCGCACGAGGCGCCCTGGAGGCGCCCACGGGCGAGCACCAGGCGAAACCTCGGCGAATACACCCAGCGCACGAGGCGCCCGCAAGATGCGCACGGGCGGGCACCAGGCGGAACCTCGGCATACGCACCCAGCGTACGAGGCGCCAACGAGGCGCCCACGGGCGGGCACCAGGCGAAACCTCGGCACACCCATCCAAGTCTGCAAGGACAGAATTCTGCTTGCCATTCCGTGAAGAGCAAGTGACGATGACCCCCACATTGTTTTCAACGGAGATCGTTTGTCTCGCTGATACTTTGCACGTTGGGGGCGTGGCTTGCTACGTGGGCGTCGCGGGCGCTTTCGTCCGCGCGCGTGCGCCGGTTTGGATTCCTTGGTCGGCTTTTTCAGCCCGTGGCGTTGCGGTTATTTGCCCGCTTGTTTTTTTAACGAAACACGAACTCATTATGTGGCCGTTGGTGTCATGCCCGTCGCGCAGTGGGATGCGCTACCACGTGGTCAGCAGTGGTAACCCATTGGGTGCGCGTCGAAAGCTTTCTTTCGTTGTGGCCAGCCCGTCAGACTGTCGCGTTGCTGGCGTTGCGTGCGGGGAGGATTCGCGCAAGTGCGTGGCAGTGCGATGCTGGTCTTGCGCGGCTTGATCAGACGGCGCAGGCGGTTTTGCTTGTGCGCACAACGACATGTCCATCCACGTTGCGCGATTCAGCGGGTGCACATGAGCTGGAATGGTGCGCGCAGCTTTTTGAAACACCGACTTTAAGATGGATGGCGAGCGCCATTGAGCTTTTCGTTTCGCAGATGGCATCCTGGTTTACGGCGGAGTAGACAAGCGGTGGCCCACGTAGAGAGTAACAACCAAACATGCCAGAGCAATGAGGGGGGGGCGCCGCAGGAGCCGCCATATGCAACATAGAGCGTCAGATGAGGATCGACGCAGAGCCACGAGGCAGTAATAGTAAAATCATGGGTTCGACCACGCGATTTTCCCATCAATCATGCCCCAACGCTATGATCATCACAGTCTCCATCGTCCTGCTCGCGCAAGTCCGCATCGGCCGCGGACGGCGACAACCGCGACAGCACGCGGGGCGGAGAAGGCACCGCGACTGGGACACCGCGACAACGCCCGCGACTGGCGGAACTCCTGACAGCACGTGCCGGTCCCCAACCGGCTGGTCTGCAGCAGGAGGAGAAGGATGACGACGACGACGACGACGACGAAGAGTTCGTCATCGTATCCTTCATCCTTCTCGGCCTCCCCATCTCCTCCCTTCCGTGCTCCTCTTCCACGTTCCTCCTCCAACCTTTTCTGATGCTCCTCGTCCTTCTTCTTCTTATTCGCCCTCGTCGTCCTCTTGCTCCGCTCCCTCCTCTTCCTCTCCCCCTTCCTGTTCTGCCTCCTCAACCTCCGCCGCTTCCTCCTCGTACGTCTCTTCTTGCTCCTCCCCACTGTATCCTCGCTCTCCCATCCTCTCCATCGCCTCCTCCGCCCCCGCTCGCAGCCCCGCCCCGCTCCCGCCCTCACGCCCATTCTCGCTCCGAGCGAGGCAATTGGAGGCGGGATGAAAGAGTCGGAGGAGGAAGGGCGACGGGAGAGGAGGCGGGGCGATGATGACGAGGGCTGGCGTGACGATGCATTCCACCGAAGCAGCCGAAACGGCTCCGGTGCAGGCCGGCCCGGGCGCGAGGGACGTTTGCCCTGTGTCGGCGGCCTTCTGAGAAGGCAAAAGGTTTTTCCTCTAGGCCCACCCATGGGGGCCTGGGCAGATGGCGTCGGAGGAGCGCGCCTCATCGCCGATGCATCGGCGATGTGGCTCGATGTGGAGCGCGATTTCCTCCAAGCCGACGGCGCCGATGCACAGCTGGCGTCGGCGGTGCATCACTGATGTCGATGCGACGCGATCCTCCGACCCCATCTGCTCGGACTCCACGTGGGAGGCCTCTGGTCTCTTCAACGAAGGGCTCGGATGCTCCCCTGGAAGCCTCATCGGGAGCCTCCGACCCCCTCCAGGGATTCCGAGGGCCCGCCCTGCGTTCTCAGAAGCCCGCCCCCCTCGTCCCGACCCCCTCCCCCTTTGTCCGCCGCCGAGGGAGGGACATCTGCTGGTGGCATGGGGCCGCGCCCTGGCATGGGCTGATGTGGCGCGCTGGACGAGCCACTCAGGCAGCCGTGTCCGCCGCCGCCGCCGTCGTCGCCCGTGTCCCTCGACGTTTGGGCTCTCCTTGGGCCCCCGGAGGCTGCCAGGCACCTCCGGAGACCCCTACATTTTTTTGGGGGGGGAGGGTGGTCGTCGCCGTGGCGGTGGTCGTCGTCGGGTGAGGAGGTGCAGGGGGGGGGACGAGGATGGGTTGGGAGGGAGAGGAGAACGAGGAGAAGGAGGAAAGTGAAGAAGACGAGGGGAAGGAGACGGAAGGAGAGAGGGAGGGAGGAAGAAGGGAGGGAACGTAGAGAAGGGATGGGGGATGAGAGGACGAGGGAAGGAGGTGGAAGGGAGGACGAAGGGGCGGATGAGGAGTTACGTGCGAGGAGGGGGCGGATGAGGAGGAGCAGCGAGGGAGCAAAGAGGAGGAGGGATGGGAAGAGGGAGAAAGGAGGAGGACGAGGAGGCGGAGAAGGAGGGATGGCATGGGAGCAGCGAGTGAGGAAGGGAGGAGGACGAGGAGGACGAGGAGGAGGAGGAGGAAGTGCAGTTTAGCAGTGTGGTGACACATGGGACACGAAGTGCGAGGGAAGGAGGAGAGCAGCAGCAGCAGCAGCAGCAGCAGCAGCAGCAGCAACAGCAGCAGTAGCAGCAGCAGCCGCAGCCGCAGCAGCAGCACCAGCAGCAGCAGCAGCAGCAGAAGCGGAGCCCGAGTCGGACTGAACCGAGACGACGGCCCGGCCAATGCGCTGGCGCCCGCCCGAACGCCGCCGCGGCCGGCCGCACTCGCACCGAAATGAGGTGGCAGCGGCGGCGGCAGTGTCGGCAGCGCCAGCGGCAGCAGCGGCGGCGGTGTTGGCAACGGCAGCGGACGGTGTGGCCCTGCAGGAGTTGCTGCTGCCGGCCGGCCTGCCCGCCGGGCGGGCACTCGCCGGCGGCTCCAGCGGCGGCCCTTGGCGGCCTGCCGGAGGCGTCGGCCAGCGGCGGGCGCAGGCGGCCGCCTGCCCGCAGCGGGCCGGCGGCGGCTCCTGGCGGCCCGCCGGCGGCCTGTCTGCCCGCGGCCCCGCCCTCGGCGGCGGCCGGCCAGCACCCGCCAGCGGCGCGCTGCCGCGACGGGCTCCCGCGGCGTGCGTCGGGCGATGGCGCGCCGCGGCCTCGTCCTCCTCCGCGGGCGCGGCGAGGCCGCCAGGCCAGAGGCGGATGACCAACGCGGACCTGGACGCGTGGGCCAGAGGGCCGACGGTGCGGGGCCACGTGCACAGCAGGCCCGTCTACGAGCCCTATGGCCTGTCCGTCGTTCGCGAGATGGGCCAGGGCTCGTCCGCGCCCGACGGCTGGGCCGCGAAGCTGCTGTCGGCGACGGGCATGAAGAACAGCGACAGCCCGAACCAGGACTCCTTCTCCTACACCCTGCTGGACTCTGGCTGGATCCTCTGCATCGCCTGCGACGGCCACGGGGAGCAGGGCGAGGTCGTCTCCGAGCGGGTGGCGCGCACGCTGCCGCTCTTCGTCGCCCGGCACCTGCCCGAGAGAGGCCCGGAAGAGGCCCTGCGCCAGGCGTTCGCCGAGGCCCAGCAGGACCTGGAGCTCTGCTTCCGGAGCGCCCAGATCTACAGCGGTGCCACTGCGGTGGTCTGCTGCGTCCACCACGAGAGGCAGGAGGTGTGGACGGCCCACGCCGGGGACTCGCGCGTGGTGCTGGGCGACCTGGACGACGGAAGCGTAGTCTGCATTACGGAAGAGCACAAGGCGCACGATCCAGAGGAGTTCAAGCGCCTCAAGGCGGCAGGCGCGCAGGTGATCCAGAAGAAATACGACGATGGCGAATTGGTCAGTCGCATCTTCATCCAGTTGCGCTGCCGCGCGAATCCATCACCGCGCGTGTGTGGGGGGGGCGCCCTGGGGAATGGGGGGGGCATGGGGAGTGCGGGAAGGGAGAGGCCTGGGTGCGCGGCACGAAAACAAAACAGTGCTTTGGACCAGAAGGCGAACGCGTGTCGGACTCGGCGGGCGCCAACCGACCCCCCCACCCCGCGCACGCACTGTTTCTGCCAACGCCGCAATGGGTTTCATAGCATATTATATATGTGCTATACATTTAGAAATATGTCACTTAAATGTGATATATATATATATATATATATATATATATCCCACATTTAAATGTATGAGCAAAAGGGGAGGGGGATGGACGCCGAACCGAAACCGTTTGGCTCAAGCGCAAGCCCTCTCCTCGCCCAGGCAGGCCAAGAGATTCTTCGGGGGCTCGGCGTAGGGAACGCGGTGCGGGCAGCAGGACAGGAGTGCCCAGCGTGCTACTTCGACTGCCCGGCGTGCACCTGCTCGCTGAACTGCCCCACGTGCCCGACAGTGCACTGCGGGGCCAGCTACTCCATCGGCCCGGTGGCGGGGCCGCTGCTGGTGGGGCTCGGGGCCTTGCTGGCGCTGGCGCCCGGCTTCCTTCGCCGGCAGTGTGGGCAGCGCGCGCCACCAGGGCTGCCTGCGGCTGCGAAGCCGGGGCCTGCGCCCGCGGCGGCTCCTGCGTCGCCAGCCGGGCCGCTGACCGTCCGTGACGAGGAGGCCGAGCTGCAGGCTGCGGCGCAGGAACAGGTGCGCCTGGTTCGCGCGCGGCCATCGCCGTGATGGCTGGACACGTGCTGAACGGGGTGGCGCTCGCGGGCCTGGAGGAGGGCGACTTCTACCTGATCCGCTTTGGCGTCGCGGGCCCTCCGCTGTGGCACGAGCGTGTGTGCGTGTACCTCCCTCGGGCCCAGGCGGGCGGAGTGGTGACTGGCTACACGCCGAACGACGACCACTACGAGGAGGACCTGGCGCCGGGCGGCGACGCGGTGGCCTGGTGCCTGCTCCCCGGCGGCGCTCAGGGCGGGGTGCCTCCCGTGGCGGTCGGCGGGGCAGCTGCCCGCGCGTACCGCTTCCGCGCGGTGCCCCTGGCCGCGGCGCTGGGCGCCGCGCGCGACGCGGCCGCCGCCCGGTTCGGCGATGCGGCCCCAGGCGTGCCGCTCGCGCCCAACACGGGCGGCCGTGCTGGGGCCCCTCCTGGAGGGCTGGGCGTGCTGGGGGTTCCAGGGGCCGTGCCCCTCGCCCTCCCGGCCGCGCCAGCCGCGGCGCCTGTCGGAGGAGCGGGGGTTGGAGGCGGGCTCGCCGCCCTGGCAACCGTCCTTGGGCCGGGCGGCGGGGCCGTGGCGCCGGGCGCTGGGGCCGGCGGGGGCCTGGTGGGGCTGCCGGCCGCGGGACCGACTGCGCTTGTGGCCCCGGTGCCGGGCGCCCTGGTCGGCCCCCTGGCGGGTGGCGCGGTGGCCGCGCCGGCCCCCGCCCTCGCCCCTGCGCCGGCTGCCGCAGCTGCCGCCGTGCCTGCCGCCCCTCTGGCTGCCCTCGGCGGCGCGGACTTGCGGGTCCACCCGATCATGATCGACTCCATGGCCCGACGGAACAGGCCCTTCAGCGACTCGCTGGCCCTGCTGACGGAGACGCCGTGGGCGGACTGGCCTGTGAGAGGGCCGCGGACCCTGAAGTGGGTCTGCCACTTCCTGGCGGCCAACGGCGGGAGTCCTGTCGCCCGACACCACAGGTGGAAGACGGACTGCCGCTTGTCGAGCGAGGGCGGTGTGGACGAGCACCTGCGCATCTGCACCGCGTTGGAGAACGCGGTGTGCTTCGACCAACTGAACGTGACGGAGATGGTCAGTTTCGAGCTGCTGGGTCGGGCCCTGCAGATCATCGAGGAGAAGTACCGAGAGCGCCTGGCGGGCGCGGCCGATCCCGCGCGTGTGGACACCAACCTGTACCTGGGGACGGAGCCGGCGCGCGGGAACTGCTGCGCGTGCCCGGCCCTCCAGACGCGGGTCAGCCAGGAGCTGGCCCAGGAGCATGCGATCCTGAAGGAGAGGAGGAAGGCCAGAGAGGAGCGCGCCGCTGCCCAGACCGCCAAGGCTACAGCAAAGCCGAAGCGCGGCAACGAAGGCGGCGGCGACAATGATTGAGCGGGCTGCCGGCGGCGAGGATCGGGCCACCCCCGCCGGCCCATTCAGGCCCCCGCCCGGGCTACGCCTGCCCGGTGCGGCCGACCTAGGCGACGCACGCCCGCGCCGTGATGACCTCGGCGGCCGCCTGCGAGACGTCTTCCCGCTGCCGCCGTTGCAGCGCCGAGGGGGCGCCGTGGAGGCTAGGGCGAGGTCTTGCTGCCGTGCGGTCTCGAGACGCCACGCTCGGACCCTCAGGACTCTCGACTGGGCCAACGACTGCATCGACTCCCTCAACTCGGCCTACGGGTTCGCGAAGGCGGAGCAGCCGTCTGCGCCTGCCACCGCTGCCCAGCGTGCCGCGCTGAGCCACGTCGAGTCGGAGTTTCTGCAATTGGGGAGCCCCCCTGTTGACTCACCCTGAGGCGCGGGAGCCCTAGCCGAGCCCTGCGCCGCTGGCGGCCCGTACTTCGCGGAGCCCTCCAGCACTCGGCCCTACGTCAGAGGGATGGTCTCCCTGCCCACCAACGGCGCGCCCGTGCCCCTCTTGGACCTGCTCGCGGAGGGCGACAAGACATGGCTAGGCCACGCATGTAGCAATCTGCTCAGACCGCCTGGAGAGGCGGCCAGTCTTGTAGCTGACGCATGCCCCAGGGGCCCTTTATACAGATCGGGCTCTTGTTGGCAAGCCGTACTGTTATGCTGATTTCCTGAAAACTCTCGCGGAGAGAAACATGGTCTCCTTTCGGCGGTCCTGTAGGATCCGGGCGAGGGTCGGGGTCTTCTTTGTCGCCAAAAAACTGGTCTGCTCCGACTCATTTTTGACACTAGGCAGGTGAACTGTTTTTTTTTCCGGGACCCGTTTTCGACGAGATTCCCCACCTCCGCTGCTCGTAGTTCTGTAGAGCCCGGGGCCGACGGCATGATTGTCTCCGGGGGCGATATCGACAACTGTTTCTACCGTATCGAGTTGCCTGATGATTTGCAGGAGTACTTCCCTTTACCAGACGTGGCCGCGGGCTACCTCGGCATCGCCTCGATCGACGGGCACCCCGTGTTGGCCTCTGACCCGATCACCCCTGTCCGTAAGGTTCTTCCCATGGGCTGTCCTGGGCTATGCATCTGGCACAGACGGTCTTGGTCACTTGCTTGGTCCTCTCGGGGTTCCCGCAGCCTCTCATGGTCCTCGACGGGGAGCCCGGCCGTGTCCTTCCTGACGATGACTCGTGTGCGGTTGCTGGCTATGTCGACAAATTCTTTGTTTTCAGCCGATCCCCTGGAGTGGCCCAGGCGGGCCGCGACGCCATCGCAAAACGTTTGACGGAGTGGGGTCTCGTGGTGCACGAGCTGTCGGACGCGTCCCGGGACGCTGAGTTCCTGGGGGTCGAGATCGCTCGTGGTCACAGGCTGTCTATCAAGCGTCGGTGTATATGGCGCCTCCGCCGTGCCCTGTATGTCGTGCTACGTCGGCGCTCTCTCAGTGGGAAGCTCATGGAGATCCTCATTGGCCACCTTACTTGGGCTGGGTTGATCCGTAGAGAGTGCTTGTCGTTCCTGTGCGAGGTTGATGCTTTCCAGCACGCCGCCGGCTCGGACACGATTCGCTTGCAGCCCGGCGTCGTGCAGGAGTTGCGCTGGATCCGTGGGGCCCTCCCTCTGCTTGCTGCCGACCTCAGTGCCCCCCCGGGGTCCTCAGGTCCTCGCCTCGGACGCCTCGGACTTCGGCCTCGGCGTCTCGTCTCGGCTCTTGGACCCGCGCCTGGTCGCTTCCATCGGGCGGTGCTCTGAAAGGCGGCGCTTCAAGGTTGAAGGCCACGCCCTGGCAAGAAGCTCGGCTTTCGCGTCACCGTCAGGGCCCCCCTGTGGATCTCGAGGCCGCCGCTGTTGTTGAGGACCCCGGGTGCATCCAGCAGTGGGCCAGGGCCTTCAACGAGGTCCCCCAGAGCCTGTTCGAGGCGCAGTCATGGTCAGCGGTTCTGGCTATGCATGTCTCCACGAGGGCCGACATTCTCTGTCTCGAGGGGGACGCGTTGCTGTTGGCCGCCAAACACTTTTCTCGGAACGTTAGCAACTTCGGGGCCCGCAGTCCGGCGCTCGTGGATAACCTCCCCCTCGCGCTTGCCATGGCCAAGGGCAGAGCTAATACTGTGCATATTCGGCGGGTTATTCGCAAGCTCTGTTGCCTGAGTCTCTGTACTGGCACTCGCTTTGTGGTGAGATGGATCCCCTCTGAATGGAACGTGGCCGACGCCCTTTCCCGAGGCCGTCTGGGCTGGTTCTCGGGCCTGCACGCCCCCTCCCGGCCCCACCTGGCGCCCGATGGGGGGCCATGAGGCGGCCCGCAGCTGCCGCCCGCCCACGCCCTGCAGTCGGCGGCCGCACGGGGAACCTGCTCATGCAGGAGGAGTGCAGCCGCCCTCCAGGCAGCGGCGACTCAGCCGGCCTTGGCAGGACTCAGCGTCCTGGAGCGGCTGGCCATCCGGCCGTCCACCGAGGCGCTGCACGCGTCGCTGCTCCTCCAGCTGGTGGCGTTCTGCAACGACAGGAGCCTCACCTGGGACTCGGCGGCGACGCTGGACACGGTGCTGGTCCTGTTCCTGAACCACCTCTTCCTGCTCGGCCACGGCCCAGACGCGGGGTCCCAGACGCTGTCCGCGCTGGGCCACTGGCTGCCAGAGCTGGGGCGGGCCCCCCGCACCCTCCTGCCGAGGGCCGCCCGCTGCACGACCGCGCGGCGGCGGCGGGTGCCCCCGCGGACGCGGCTGCCGCTGCCGCGGGCTCTGGCGGGGGCCATCGCGGGCCTGCTGATCTGATCCACCAGGGTTTGCCCCGGGCCGGCCTCCTGGTGCTGCTGGCGCTGGTGGGCTACCTGCGGCCGCACGAGCTGACCCGGCTCCGGGCCCGGCACGTGGCCCCGCCAGTGCCATCTGCGGGCCAGGCCTGCGCGGCCTGGGGCCTGCTGCTTGGCGACTCTCTGACCCTACAGCCGGGCAGGACAGGCGTCTGGGACGAGTCGGTGCTGCTCGACCTGGATCCGTGGATTCTCCGGCCCTTGGCAGCGCTGAAGAGTACGCTCCAGCCCGACGCCCTGCTGTGCGACCTCTCGCCGGGGGCCGCCGCGCTGCTGGGCCTGGGTCCGCTGCGGCCAAGCTTGCATCAGCTTCGGCACGGGGGCGCCTCCGAGGACCTCGCGCTGCAGCGCAGGCCGCTGGCCGCCGTGCAAAGGCGAGGCCGCTGGCAGAGCGAGACCTCGCTCCGCCGCTACAGCAAGGAGTCGAAGCTGCTGGCCACCCTCGGGCTGGTGCACCCAGACGCGGTGTCCTTCGGGCAGTCGGTCTTCGTCAACCTGGAGGCGGTGCTCCTGCGCGGGCTGCTGGATCCCCGCAGCCAGGTGGTGCTGGGCCCCGACGTGCACCGGCTGCTGACCGCAGGCGTGCCGGTGCCCGCCCAGGGCGCGCGCGGCTCGCGGAGCGGACGCCAGCGGCCGCGCTGACGGCCTCCGACGCCGACGTGGATCGGCAACTCCACCGCGCCTTCGCGAAGGAGGTGAAGAGGCCGCCATGCACCCGGAGGGTGCTCCGTTCCCGCATCTTTCTCGAGCTGTTTGGAGGCTGCGGCAGGTTGTCGCAGGCTGTTCGGCGCAGACACACAGGCGCTCTCTCTTTGAATTGGGACAACTCTGCCTGTGAGGATCATCTTCGGACTGCCTTCTTACGTGTTGTGAAGGGCTGGATCACGTCTAGCGCTCTCTTTGCCGTATTTTTTGGGCACCCCATGCACCTCCTGGCCCAGGGCTGCACGCATTTGCCTTCGCGCCTCAGACGAGCCCATGGGAGTTCAATATCTTTCAGAAGCGCACCAACACAAAGTTGACTTGGGCAATGCCTCGCTCATGTTTTCGATAGCCGTCATCAGATTGTGTCGTCAATGCAACATTCCAGCTGGGCTGGAGAATCCTCGCACATCCATCATGTGGCTGGCGCCGCCGCTGTTACCCCTTCTCCGTGCTGATGATTGTCGTCTTCACCATTTTGATCAGTGTGCTTTCGGTACGCCTTGGAGAAAGGCGTCCACTATTGCTATTTGGGGCGGGGGCCTCTGCGATCGCCTGCTTCTCCGGTGTGGGGGCTCCAAAGGCATCTGCGGGCACACCGGGGTCCCTCACGTGGTTCTGGAAGGTAGGGATCCATGGGCCCCCGCTCGCAGGACTGCTCTGGCCGCCGCTTATCCCAAGAAGTTGTGTAACACCGTCGCAGACCATTTCGCTAACATCTCTGAGGTTCTGGAGTCCTCGGATCGCTTCAGAAAGGCTTGGGAGGTTTCGGCCTGACGGCCATAATCGTCACTCGGGGAGACGGGTACGGGTTTCGCGTCCAGTAGCTCCAGTGATTGTCGCCCCTCTTGCGGTGATCGATACGATTCTGCCATTGCTGCATCGTCTCTATAGAAAGTGAAGTAGAGCCAGGGTGAGTCTCGTCTGGGTCCCGGGGATTTCTCTTTCCTCTTGTCTGGCGTCAGGGACCCATACTGGTGCTCCCCACATTTAAATGCATGAGCAAGAGGGGAGGGGGATGGACGCCGAACCGAAACCGTTCGGCTCAAGCGCCCTCCCACCCACCCGTGTACAGCTTGAGACTGTATTTTTGTTCGGGTTTCGCGTCCACTAGCTCCAGTGACTGTCGCCCTCTTGCGGTGATCGATACGATTCTGCCATATATATAGATGTGTGTATATATACATGTGTGTATGCATGGTGCGCCGCTTGTTACGTAGAGACTGCGTATCCCTGGGATGTTATCTTTTCTCTTGTCCCTCTCCCAAACAAAAACAGCAATCGCATTATCTTCAATGGCGGGTCACGGCTACGGCTAGCAAAGCAGCAGAGTCACTTTGTGTGCGAGCTTGCGCGGGCATGTGATTCCCAAAAATTAGACCTTTTCTCTCTCCCTCTCTCTCTCTCTCTTTCTCACTCTCTCTCTCTCTCTCTCTCTCTCTATATATATATATATATATTCTCTTTTCCTTTTACGCACACACGCTTTCCCTCCGACGCGTTGTTGACGGCAGTCCGCAGGCAACGATAAGCAGTGGCGGGATTCGCGGAGATCGGATTTACCAGCTCGTGCGGTGGCTCGCACAGAGATGGTAACTTTGGCGCAGTCCTCTTTGTACTCCTCCGGCCAGGTGACGTCATCGTAGAGAGTGACAGCAGGATCACTAAATACCGAGATGATTGCCTCCAGGCGTTGCAGGTCGGAGCGAAGGCAGACACCGACCGCCAGGCAGAGTGCAAGGAATGCCTCTGGCCTTCCAGAACGGGCGAGGCCACTATGCGGTCACCCCCCCCTTGTAGTCACACACACACAGACACGCTCAGCCGCTGCAAGCGCGGCGGCGGATCCCGCGGACCGGCATCCCGGGCCTCGCCATGTCCCGGTCGTTGGGCGACGGTTGCCTCAAGAAGTACGGGGTGTGCGCCGAGCCGGACGTGCGGGGCATCTCCGACATGTGGCGGCGCTGCGCCGCGCCGGTCCTGCTTCTGGCGAGCGACGGCCTCTGGGACACCATCACCGCGGAGGAGGCGATCAAGGCCCTCCCCTCGTGGTCCCAGACGCTCGATCGGATGGCATGGGGCCCCCACCCTGCCAGGCCGATCGGCGAATCGCCCCTGTCCGGTCCTCGAGGGTGTCGCGGCCGCAGTTTCGGCGGGCCTGCGCACGCTGGGTCTAGCCCAGGGTCGTCTTCAATAAAGGGTGTTCTGAAAATTCCACCCTCGACTCGAGAGAACTGCCTGCGCGGTGCCAGACTCAGACACTCGAGGTTGCGATTTCTTCGCGATGTGGCCCCCCTGGACGCCCGAGCCCATCCCAGGGGCCAGTTCCATGGCCTCTGGAGACCGAGAAAGGCCTCCAGCAGGCAGAAGGCGGGGGAGGAACTGGCCGACGAGACCTCTTTCGTGACTGGAGGTCGAGGCTTATCCCATCCAAATCGACCCCTGGACCTCTCCTGGGGTGCGCTCCGTCAAGAATTTGGAGGCGCATCTAGCAGTGGTGATGATGGCGAGGAGGAGGATGTTATTGAATCGATTCGCTCATTCCGTTGGCCCATCGGGAATGATGTATTCTTGGTTATGGGGGCTCTCTCGGGAGGCTTCTTGGTGACCGCTGGGGGAGTCTTGAACGCGTCGCGGGCAGTCTGGAAGCGTTTTGCGTATGGGGACTCCTTCGGGAGGCCTCTTGGTGGCCTCTTGGGGACTCTCAAACGCGTCGGGTCGTTGGCACTTGCGTGCGTGCTCGGGGAGGCATTTGGGGGGCCTCCTGGGGCCTCTTGGGGGCCTCCTGAGGGCCTGTTGCAGGCCTCTTGAGGTCTCTTAGGGGCCCCTTGGGGACTCCTGGGGGCTTCTTAGGGCCGAGGGCTCGACATTTTGTGTCGTGTTCCCCCCCTGGGACCTCTCTTGGGGCGTTCTTGGGGCCTTCTTGGGCCGTCTTGGAGGCCTCCTGGGCCGTCTTGGAGCCCTCTTGGGCCGTCTTGGGGCCCTCTTGGGCCGTCTTGGGGCCCTCTTGGGGGCTTTTTGGGCCCTCTTGGGGCGGTCTTGGGGGCCTCTTGGGGCGGTCTTGGGGTGTCGGGAAGCCGAACAGGTGAAAACGCCACAATCTGTCCAAAACCTCCGGAAAAGCAATGAATGTTGCCTGTCGGGGCCCTCTTGAGAGTACTCTTGGAGGCCTCTTGGGCCGTCTTGGGGCCATCTTGGGCGTCTTGGAGCGATCTTGTGGCATCTCGGAGCTCTCTTGTATCATCTTGAGGGGCTCCTGGCGGTCTCTTGGCCTTTCTTGGGGCTCTCTGGACGGCCTCCAGGGCTGCGCCCAGGAGGAAAACCATCTCTGACCCGAGTCGCCCGGGACCTGCCCGGGGTATTTCTCGTCCGGGGACCCCCAGGGGCCGCCCCCCGCGCGCGCGAAATTGAATGATTGTAAAGCAGTTGCTGGAGATCTTAGCACGCTTCTGACCCGTTGGGCCTGCGACTAAGGAGGAGGAGGATGAGGAGGAGGAGGAGGAGGATGTTATATGTTCTCCATTATATCTTCTATCGGCCTGCCGACTGGGAAAGCTCGAAGCGACTTCAGCCACTACGCCGCCGTGTCGTAACGGCGCGCGGTTCGGTCTATGAGCGCCACGCTACGGCCTGGCAAGCGGGCACGGCATGCGTAGAGAAGGAGGAGGAGGACGAGAGAAACGAGATCACATCGATGTAAGGCCATGCAGTACTTCCCAGAGGGTCTTGCCCTTTCGTGCCACATGCTGGTATTCCTTCCTGATGCGTGTCATTGTGTTCTCCGCGCACATACTATTGACCGAAACGTAATCATCTGGCCCCCTCGGAATGTGAACGAAGTTGTTGACTGAGCCTTGACTAAAACTGGATCTGGCCCCCACTAACGACCGAGCCTTGACTAAAACTGCATCTGCGACCAGCTCAGAAGTTGACAATGCACCAAGCCCTTCCATATCGAAGTGTTGAAAATCTTGAGTACCGGCAGTGTGTTTTAAGGCAAGCTCGTTCGTGGCCTCATCGAAAAGGTCCAGACTCGGGCACGATTTCACAGCGACGCAGTTGCCGGAAAAGCAAAGACCTTCTTCTAAGCGCTCGGGTACACAGTGCGATGTTCTCCTTCATCGCATGCGCCATGATGTGTGGTGTAAGTCTTCTGTGTGGTTTGAGTCACTTCCTCCAGCCCGTCATACGACTTCAATCCGCGACTAAGATCGCCCAAGTGGTTGACGGCTTTGTGCAAAGGAATGTAAACCATACGACAGAATTTTATGACACACCAAAATCAGGATGCCGAGCAAGAAACGATAACGAGAATTTCTGACAGCGGATTGAGAGGAATCGTGGCAGAATTCAGCAACAAGCCTCAAGACTTGGCTACAGCCACACAGCTCGTACTTGGCACGAAATTGCAATGGTGATGATGATGATGATGCAATTGTTGATGATGATGATGATGATCATGACTAATGTGGATGATGATTGATGTTGGTGATGATGATGCTGGCGATGATGATAATAATGAGTAGGATGACGAGGATGGGGATAAGGATGAGGGTGAGGATGAGAATGATGATAATGATAAGGAGGATCAGGCTGCTGCTAATGTTGCTGATTATGGAGATGACGAGGATGATGATGCTGATGATCAGAATGATGATTGTGGTGGTGATGAGTGTGAGGATGCTGATGGTACTGATGATGATGCTGGTGCTGATTATGCTGATGATGGTGATGATGGTGATGATGGTGATGGTAATGGTGGTGGTGATGATGATGATGATGATGGTAGTGGTGATGATGATGTTGATTATGATGATGTTGACGATGGTGATAATGCTGCTGACGCTGATGACGACGACGACCACGGGAATATCTACGACGATGATACGGATGATGATGTTGTGGATGATTAGTATGACGATGATGGTGAATGTCATGATGATGGTGATGACGATGAGGATGTTGTTGCTGATGATGATGCTAATGGTGATGATCAAGGCGACGGTGGTAATGATTGTGCTGGTGGTAATGTGGAATGCTGACTATGTTGATGATGCTGATGATGATGATGCTGATGCTGATGCTAATGCTGATGCTAATGCTGATGCTGATGCTGATGCTGATGCTGATGAGGAGAACAATAATGATGATGAGGATGAGTGAACGATGGGGAGGAGAAGGAGGAGGAGGAGGAGGACTGTTATTGCGGACGGGATAAAGTAATACGATGTTGTTGATGATGTTGTTGTTGATGATGATGATGATGATGATGATGATGATAATGATGATGATGATGATGATGATGATGATGATGATGATGATGATGATGATGATGATGATGATGATGATGATGATGATGATGATGATGATGATGATGATGATGATGATGATGATGATGATGAGGAGGGAGGAGGAGGAGGAGGAGGAGGAGGAGGAGGAGGAGGACCAGGAGGAGGAGGAGGAGGAGGAATAGGTGGAGGAGGAGGTCGAGGACCAGGACGAGGATGGCGGTGATGATGGTGAAGATGATGATGCTGTTGATGTTGCTGATGATGAGGAGGGGGAGGAGGAGGAGGAGGAGGAGGAGGAGGAGGAGGAGGAGGAGGAGGGGGAGGGGGAGGAGGAGGAGGAGGACCAGGAGGAGGAGGAGGAGGAGGAATAGGTGGAGGAGGAGGTCGAGGACCAGGACGAGGATGGCGGTGATGATGGTGAAGATGATGATGCTGTTGATGTTGCTGATGATGAGGAGGGGGAGGAGGAGGAGGAGGAGGAGGAGGAGGAGGAGGAGGAGGAGGAGGAAGAGGAGCTATCATGAGGCTCATTTCGGCCATCTCGGGGCTGACAGGGTCTTCTGCGGGGTAGTCCTGGGGGTTCCCTGGTGCCCTCTTGGGGTCGTCTTTGGGCCCTCTTGGGCTGTCTTGAGGCTCTACTTGGGCCCTCGTGGCCGTCTGGGGAGTCTCGTGGGGCCGCCGTCGTGAGGTCATCGTAGGCTTTCCATGGGTCCTTCTTGGGTCACTCCTGAGCCCCTCTTTGGCCAGCCCGAGGCCCTTTGGGAGACGTCCTGGGTCTCCCGAGGCCCTTTTAGCTTATCTTAGCACCCTCTTGCTCTTGGGCCGTCTTGGGGCCTTATTGAGGCCCTCGTGGGCAGTTGAGGCCATTTTGGAAGCTTCCTGTACCATATTGAGCTCACAGAAGCCCGAAAAGGTGAGAATGCGAAAATCCATCAAACTTTACCCGAGACCTACCAGATGTTTCTGGCGAGGCGAATATTTGCATGAACGCTCCAGATATGCATGATCTGCACTGCCCTCATCTCCGCCGCGTCTCCCAGAAGCCCACGAAAGTGGCGACAATTGTGCATTCCGTAGCCTCCCAGGCAGCCGCAGGGACTAGGCTGGATCCGCATGGCCCGCCTCCGCTGGACCTCCCAGGAGCCCACGAAAGTGGCGACAGCTGCGCTGTTCGCACCCAGGGAGCGGCAAGGACTAGGCTGGGTGCGCGTGGCCCCCGACTCAGCTGGACCTCCCAGGAGCCCACGAAAGAAGTGACAGTTGCGCAGTTCGCAGCCGCCCAGGGAGACGCAAGTACTAGGCTGAGTGCGCGTGGCCCGACTCAGCTGGACCTCCCAGGAGCCCACGAACGTGGCGACAGTTGCGCAGTTCGCAGCCACCCGGAGAGCAGCGAGGTCTCGTCTGGGTGCGCGTGGCCCCCGACTCCGCTGGACCTCCCAGGAGCCCACGAACGTGGTAGCAGTTGCGCAGTTCGCAGCCACCCGGAGAGCAGCGAGGTCTCGTCTGGGTGCGCGTGGCTCCCGAGCTTGTTTGATCTCCCAGGAGCCCACGAAAGTGGTAGCAGTTGCACAGTTCGCAGCCACCCAGGGAGCACCGACGTCTTGCCTGGGTTTTCGCGCCCCCCGACTGCGAGGTTTCGTTTGGGTGTGCGTACTGTCTTCTCCGCCGTGCTTCCCAGGAGCCCGCGAAAGTGGCCACAGCTCCGCAGTTCGCAGCACACAGGGAGCTGCGAGGTCTCGGCTGGGTGCGCGTACTCTCCTACTCCGCCGTGCCCCCCAGGAGCTTGCGGAAGTGACGACAGTTTCGCAGTTCGCAGCCCCCAATGACGGAGAGGTTTCGCTTGGATGTGCGCAGGACGTCACTATGCTGGGCCCCCTAGCAGCCCTCGAAAGTTTTCGCAGTTCGCAGCCCCCAGTGACGGAGAGGAGGGGCTTCATTTTGATTTGCGTAGGACGCCACAATATGCTGGACCCCACAGAAGCCCTCGAAAGACACGACGATTTCGCAGTTCGCAGCCCCCCTGGGACGGCGAGGTTCATTATGATGCGCGTAGGACGTAGGACGTCACTATGCTGGGCTACCCCAAGAGCCCTCGAAAGTGGCAACAGTTTCGTAGTTCGCAGCCCCCAGTGACAGCGAAGTTCCACCCTGATGTGCGCAGGACGTCACTACGCTGGACCTCCCATGAGCCCTCGACAGTGGCGACTGTTTCGCAGTGCGCAGCCCACGGGAGGCTACGAGGTCCATTATGATGTGCGTCGGACGTCACTATGCGGGGCCCCCCAGCAGCCCTCGAAAGGTTTCGCAGTTCGCAGTCCCCAGTGACGGAGTGGAGGGGCTTCACACTAATGTGCGTAGGACGTTACTATATGCTGGACCCCACAGCAGTCATCGAACGTGTCGACAGTTTCGCAGTTCGCAGTCCCCAGTGACGGAGATGTCTCATTCTGATGTGCGAGGACGTCACTCTGATGGGCTTCCAGCCCAGCAGCCCTCGAAAGAAGCGACAGTTTCGTAGGTCGCAGCCTCCCAGCGAGGTCTCATTATGATGTGAGGAGGACATCACTATGCTGGACCTCCCAGGAGCCCTCGAAAGTGGCGACAGTGGCGCAGTTCGCAGCCACCCAGAGATCAGCGCAGGAGGAGGCAGGAGGAGGAGGGAGGCATGAGAGGAGGAGGTGGGGACCGCAGTGCTCTATTCTAAACGAGAACCCAGAGCAGGAGGGTTGGGAAATAAAGGGGAATTAATGATTTGTGCCACTTCGGGCCCCTCTGGAGATCCTCTTGGAACCCTCTTGGGCCGTCTTGACAGCCTCTTCGGCAGTCCTGAGGTCATATTGGGCCGTCTTTGGGCCATCTTGGGCCGTCATGGACGCAGCTTGGACCATCTTGGCGGCTCTGGTGGCCTGCCTGACCTGTATTGGAAGCCATCTTGAGCATCTTGGCCGCCTTGGAGAGCGACAGGGAGGCGTCGGGCAGCCCAGGAAGTCTCCGGAGTGGCATTCTACCACGCCTCAACGTGCCAAGGGTCAGGGTAGCGAATCCAGCGTTCCTTATGGCTGCAGCTTGGCTGTACCCTGGAGGCCTCCAGAGACTTCCAGAGAACTACTTTTGGTCTCCGGAAGGCCGTTTGGACCGTCAGTTATTTCGTTCGCCCAAACGGTCTTTCTCAGCTCTCTATCAGACAGCATCGGGAATCGACCCTCTGTTCCCGAACCTCGAGGCCCTCGCCGCGCGCTGCCACTCTGGGGTCGACGCGCTGCTGGGCGCGGAGGCGCTGCTCCGGCGATCGCAGCGGCTCTGGATCGAGGAGGAGGGCGACTACTGCGACGACGTGACGGTGCTGCTGCTGGCGCCCTCCGCCAGCCTCGCCGCCACCGGCAGGGCAGCGCTGCCGACGTAGAGCGTGGAGTGCCCTCTCCCCCTTCTGCTCCTGCTGCTCCCTCCCCCCTCCCCCCCAGCTCCCTGGGTTGTGAGTTGTGAGTATCGAAGCGCCCAGGGTTGCAGGCACACGTGGACGCTAGGCGCCAGGATCAGAAGCCTTCCAGGTCACGCGCTGGTCCCTCCCCCCTCCCGGGCTCGCACTCCTCCCCCCTCGTCTCCTTTCCTCCTCCTCGTCCTCCTCCTCCCCCTCCTCCTCATCCTCCTCCTCCTTGCGTAGCCATTGGCTCAAGGCGCGGCCCTGCTGTGAGCATTGTTGTTTTTGTTTTCGAATGCTCTCGACAATGCATCATCACCAGATGGTCCACGATCGGCATGGACAGACCTTGCGCATGGTTGCTGCGAAACCCAGTGTGCATTTCAAAGGCCTGGCGCAAGCTGCCCGGCAGCACTCGGGCGGGATCGGAAGTTGTCCTCATCCTGGGCCCGAAGGTTGACAGATCTGGACAACGCGTACACCGATTCCCGTCACATTACCATCGTCTCCTGTGAGAAGATCCTACGCGAGGTGGCCGACGATATTACGTTGGCCGCACAGTTGGGGTCTGGAGACTCCTTGCAGGACACCATCACTCCCAGCATGGAGTACAACGCGGAAGACAACACCGCGGGCGACGAGTCGAGCGACTTGGAGGACTTCAGCATGGACGGCGGCCTCCACTTGGCGCTGCCCGCTATTCCGCCCAGCTCTTTCGTGCGAGCTGCATCGATGAGCGGGACGGCCCAGAGTTCCTGGTGCTGCTACGCACTGGCACAATTGAGTGGTACAGCCTGGCGGAAGAGCTCGTTTCGGCGGGAGTCCCGGGAGTTCAAGCCTACGTCCCACCTCGGCGACCGCGCCAGGGCCAGGTCAACGGACGTGCCACGCAGACCACCTGCGAGGCATGCCAGTTGATCACCAGCGAGGAGTACGTGAGCGAAGCGACCCAGACCATCGACACGATCCCGCCTACGGCCGCTTCCCAACTGGTCATCGGCCACGCGACGGAGGAGTTCAGCTTACAACCTGTTCCGCCGTTACCTTGTCTGGAGGATCCTGTGCTGGATGGAGTCTCTGATGCTGCAGCTGAGGGGTTTCAGACTGATGTTGCCCCTGGCCCTGCCAGTGCGGGTTCGGCGCTTACTCCCCAAATTGACGTTTCTGGTGAGTTTCATCACGAGGCTGCCCCCGACCAGAAGCTGACGAAGAAGGGCAAGAACAAGCACACGATCAAGAACAGTAAGCAAACCAATGAGACGGATCTGGAGGGGGGCCGCAGTCCGGAAGCGGGGTGGAGCCAGACGCGGGGGTCTCCAGGGAGGGGTTTTTCGTTTTCGTCTCGCAAATGCGGGCCGAGCTCTGCGATCTGAGCGCCCGAACCAGCGAGGTCGCGCACGTAATCCGGCAGTGATTATTGCCTCCTGTTCCACTCTGCTGTCTCGTCCCGCTCTCCGGTTCTCTTGTTGTCGTCTTCTCTGCTACTTCTGCTCGTTCCTGCTCCCTGTCTTCTTCCTGTCCTTGCTGCGTTGTTCCCATTCCTGCTGTTGCTGTTGCTTTGCACCGCGTTGATCCCTTTCGTCCTCCTCCCCCTCCTCCTTTTCCTCCTCCTCCTCCTTTTCCTCCTCCTCCCCCTCCTCCTCCTCCTCCTCCTCCTCCCCTCCTCCTCCTCCTCCTCCTCCTCCTCCTCCTCCTCCTCCTCCTCCTCCTCCTCCTCCTCCTCCTCCTCCTCCTCCTCCTCCTCGTCCTCCTCCTCCTCCTTGGGCACGCTCCACCTCCTCCTCCTCCTCCTCCTCCACCTCTTCCTCTTCCTCCTATTTCAAGCGATTCTGTCTTTTTGGCGCTGCCTGGCGATTTGCATCGGGGCGTCGCACGGCGTTCCCGACGCGTGGCTAGGAATGTGCAGTGTCCGTTGCGAGTCCCCCTGCCCCCTCGCACGCGCCGCCAAGAGGAGACGCGCCCGTCACGCGGCTGCAGCCAGCGATGCGGACCAGCAGGCTCGACCGCGTAGCGGGGCGAGCGCAGGGTTTGCGGTTTTCGAGCCTCGTCCTTCCCAAACAGCTTAGCCAGCGCAGCGCACGTGCGCATCTTGACGTAAACGTTTGCTCCCCCTTTTCCTCCGAGCGGCGAACGCGTCTGTCCGAGCGCCCGAGCACTTGATCGAGGGCGAGTGCAACCCCCCAATCCCAAAACCAGCGCACCGCTAAGCGGCGACGGGCCCTGGAGCCGAGGGGGTGCGCCCGCCGGGGCCCATGAATTCCGACACACGGGGCCGCCAACGTGAACGCGACGATGGTGCGAAGGGCCGCGAGCACCGGCCCGCAGCAGGTGCCAGCAGCCGGAGCTAGCTGCTAGCAGCCGCCCCATCCAGCCTCTGGAGCCCGCCTGGCCGCCTGCCCCGCCGGCAGCTCTTCGTCGCCCAGCCGCGTCGCGGCGCCTGGCCAGCGGCAGCGCGCCGGCGCTAGCCCCTGCAGCCGCTCCGCCGCCACCTGGCGCCTCAGCGGCGAGCCCTGGCCGTCGCTGCTCAAGGCCGTCCGCAGCCGCCGCGTCAAGTCAGTGGCGCCCTGGGCGCTGCGCGCCAGCCGTCCAGCGCCTAGCGCCTCGCGCTGCTCAGCTCCGCGCCCCCGCTTCAGCGCTGCGCGAGCTGCGCGGTGGCGCCCCCGAGCCAAGAGTTCAGCTCAGCCCGGTTGGGCGCCTGAGCTGGCGCGCCACCTGGTGCTGCAGCGCGCAGCTGCGCGCCTTGTAGGCGCGCGCGAGCTACCCCGGTTGCGTGTCCTCGGGAAGTTTGCCCACCTGCGCGAAGAGCCACTTCCGCGCGTCGACGCCCAGGCGGCCCGAGGACTCCAGGGCGAACGCGATCATGCGTTCGCCTGGATACCTTTCGTGTTTCTCGCGCTCGCTGGTTGGCCCTGGCTGATAGCCCTTTCCGCGAGAACGCTGGCTCAAGTTTGCGCCCGACGCGGCGCGACGCGCCTGCCGCCCCTGCCCGCCATGGACGCGGCCTTGTTTTGAGGTGGTCCTCCCCCCGCCGCGCGCGGCGGCCAGTGTCGAGGGCGCGGCCGAGTTCGCGGGCGGCTCGCAGCAAGTTCCGGAGCCCCCCGGGGGCCAGACGGGAAAGGACAAGGGAAAGACCAAGGACGAGCCCGCGGCGGGGGCCGAGGACGACGAGGGCGCCCGGGCTCCGAGCCCGAAGAGGAACGGGGTCAAGGAGCCGCGGCCGCTGGAGGCCCATCGCGACCGACGCCGCCCCTGGGCGACGAGCGGGCCCAGGCGACGCGCGACCAGAACGCGGCGGTGACCGGGCCCGAGGACCGCAACCGACGGCGGAAATGGCGACCGCGGTGGATCGATGCTCGGCGGGAGGGGTCACGGCGCGCAAGGAGGCGCGCGAGTCGGGCAATGATTCCGAGAACCACCCGCGGGGCAAGCAGCCGACGACGCTACTCAACTCCCTGATGGCTCGGGAAGAAGATGGAGGAGCACAGGGTGGCCGCGCCCGCGCGCGTGGCGCGCGAGCGCGGGGCCGGGGTTCGCGCGGCCGCCGATAAGGCGCTCTGGCGATTCAGCGCAGCGGCCCCCGATCTCGGCCGCGCGGCGCTTCGGCGCGCGCGCGGAGGGCCCGGGCTTCGGCGATGACGTCGCGCATTGCGCATAGATCTTCGCAGCCAACCGCGCACCGCTATTATTGGAGATGCGGGGCGCCATCCAAAACGCGAGCCTCGCGCGCGAGCTGGGCCGCGCGGGCGGCCCCGACCGCGGCCCCATGTCCACGCGCGCCAAGGAGGCATCCAAGATTGGAGCTGGGGCGAAGGGCAAAAGCGCGGCGGGGGGGGGCCCTTCCAAGACTTAGAAGCAGCGGCTTGGACTGCGAGCCGCGGTGCTCCGCGGCCGCGACCTTATCTGTCAGCGGTTTCTGCGTCATGTTTCTTCCGTGGGCCTAACTCGCATCGCCCGCCCATTCCTCCCCCTCCCCCTCTTCCGCGAACCGCCGTTGCGACTGAATTCTCGATTGCGCCAGATAAGACTTGAACGCGCCTGGCGCGCCGAGGGGGGTCGCAGAGGCAGCCCCCTGGCGCGCCGCGGCAGCGCCAGCTGGCGGGAGACTGGCCGTGTCGCGCGCGGACGTTCTACGATGGGGAGCGGCCGCCGTCGCCCGTCCGTTTATGCCGCCTGGCCAAATTTGCGCATGCATGTACATGTGTGTATATATGTGCGCATATTTCAAGAGAAACAGAGAAATGGAGAGCGACGCAGACATACAGACATACATGCATGCATGCGCACAGACACACACACGTACAAATTTACACACATACAAACATACATGCAAAAAAAAACAAACAAACTATATATAGAGAAGGAGAGAGAGAGAGAGAGAGAGAGAGAGAGAGAGAGAGAGAGAGAGAGAGAGAGAGAGAGAGAGAGAGAGAGAGAGAGAGAGAGAGAGAGAGAGAGAGAGAGAGAGAGAGAGAGAGAGAGAGAGAGAGAGAGAGAGAGAGAGAGAGAGAGAGAGAGAGAGAGAGAGAGAGAGAGAGAGAGAGAGAGAGAGAGAGAGAGAGAGAGAGAGAGAGAGAGAGAGAGAGAGAGAGAGAGAGAGATGCGCGCTTGCATCACCTGCACCGCGGAAAGCATTCTCATCCATAACAGAGTTGATATCGTCATACGTTCCGTCGTTCCCCACGGTCGACTTCCGTCGTTTCAACCTGTGAGTCACCAGATATTTCATCTGGACATGGTTGCCCCATCGATGCGGCGCGCCAGCAGCCGAAAAGGCTTGAGGTTGACCGCTATCATTGCCACGGTTGCTGACTGCGTCGGGGGCGGTTCAAGACCTGCGCCATCTGTTTCGCAACGCGTTGCCTCGAGCGCAATCTCGAACAAGATGGCGGCAGTTGACGGGGCGACACATCAGATGACTGCCCCTCGCGGCACATCAGACACCCGCCCCGCCCGGCCCAGGTGCGACAACGCAGGGGGGCGCGTCT